TTCCCCCCTTCACAACCCCAGAAATCACCCAACTAATCACTAAGAGCACATAAATAATGCTCTATAAGCTGTGGGCAACAGGGCACCACAAAAGCAGGTGATTAGAAGATTCCTCAACACACATGCAAAGAGAGCATCTATTAACAATAACCTGCCCTCTCGTCCTTAAATTGTCAAAAGTGAGTATCCTTTCCCTACACGCTTCCCATGCAAAGAAAGTCATTCTAGGGGGCACATTAGTTTTCCAGATTTGCTTAATAGGGAGATCCAAACTTACATCCTCTTCCCCACCAACCAAGAAGCTGTAGTATGATTGAACAGAAAAATTACCCCTTTTCTCAAGATTCCACAGAATCTTATTTGATTCTTCTTTGATACACTGTTTCTCCAGGGTCAACAAAAGCTCTTCATACTCGTTGATTTCCCAGTCATTTAAATGTCTATTCACCCTAACAGACCAATCAACGTAGCCATTGCAAAGCCTACATGCATCAGCTACCGCCCAACCTTTTGAATGTGCAATTTCAAAAATTCTGGGAAACAAATTCTGTAACCTATCCTTACCAGCCAGCCTATCTTGCCAAAACCTGATTTTGTCCCCTTTACCCAATTGCCATTTGGTGCAGGAAAGGAATCTTGGCCACCGTTTCATCATATTCTTCTACAATCCATGCCCATGTGGCCTGTAGCCAGCCCCAGCCCCAACTGAATCCGGTCCACCCCAACGAACAAACACAATTTTCCTCCATATTTTGTCCTCCTCTGTCAAAAATTTCCAAAGCCATTTTCCTTGAAGAGCCATGTTCAAGTAGACAAGAGATCTTATGCCCAAACCACCCCTAAGAACCGGTTTTTTTATCTCTTCCCAACTAACCAAGTGATACTTCTTATGCCCCTCATCATCACCCCAAAGAAAATTACGTTGAATTGTTTCTAGTTTCTTCGCAATTTCTTTAGGGATTGTAAGGGTCGAAAGGTAGTAGATGGGAAGGTTGGCCAACGTGCTGTTTATTAAAGTGAGACGCCCCCTCTTGGAAAGAAAATTCTTCTTCCACCTTGCAAGTCTATTTTCAAACAATTCAATAACCGGTTCCCAAGTGCACTTGTCTTTAAATTTTGCACCCAATGGTACCCCTAGATATTTCAAAGGGAACATCACCAATTTGCAACCCAGCACCTTAGCATAGTTGCTACCATCCCCCTCACCACCAGTCCTAGCCAATTCAGATTTTAACAGATTAATTTTCAATTCAGAAAAAGTTTTGAAAACAGTGGAGAATGCATCGCAGATATAAGAGGTTTTTGGTATCCGGGCAAATATGAGGGTGTCATCAGCAAAGAACAGGTGTGTAACATCAAGAACATTCAATCTTTTCCCAACCTTAACGTCTTTCAATAAATCCAGTCCTTTGGCCTTGCACAGCAAACCATTTAGAGTCTCCATTGCAATAATAAATAGTAACGAGGAGAGAGGGTCCCCTTGCCGTAACCCACAAGAAGCAGAGAAAAATTCAGATGGCCCTCCATTCACAATCACTGCAAAGGAAGTAGTGGAAATGCAAGTTTTCACCCAAGTCCTCCATTTGGAGCCGAAACCCATTCTACCAAGCATGTAATCAATAAAATTACAGCTGACATGGTCATATACTTTTTCCATATCCAATTTGCATATCAGCTCATCTCTTTTGTTTGCGAAAAAAACAATCAACCACCTCATTAGCCGCCATAACAGCCTCCAAAATCTGTCTCCCCTCAACAAAAGCATGTTGACACTCTCCTATAACCTCCCCAAGAACACAAGAGAGTCTTTCCACCAGCATCTTTACAATTAATTTATAGATACAGCCCACCAAATTGATCGGTTTGAAGTCCCTGAATTCAATTGCCCCCATTCTTTTAGGAATAAAAACCAAAAAATGTAGAATTAAGAGATTTTACGAACCTCCCCGATTGATGCAATTCATTAAACATGCTCATCACGTCCTCTTTAATTAAATACTAGAATTCTTGAACGAAATTTAAGTTAAAACCATTCGGCCCTGGAGCTAGACCTCCTCAGAAAATGGTGCCTCCAGAAATTGAATGCTAGCCCCAGTTAAGCTCTGAAAA